CAAGTTGCGAGCCCTCTCTGAGGGGGCCAAAATTTCGCCCCCTATAGTCAGCGATGGAGTCAGCTGACTATGCCGAGGCGCCGGCAGCCACAGCCACTCGGTCTTGGAGGGGTTGAGCCTGAGTCTGTTCCTCCCCATCCAGACCCGTACGGCCTCCAGGCAACGGGCCATCACGTCAAGGGCATCGTTGGGGTGGCCTTGACGTGATGGCCCGTGATGACATTTAATAAGTAAACGGATACTGAATGTACGCGCCCAACAAAACTCACAAAGTGCATATTTCTGCACTCTTTCCGCCTTAACAGTTCACTTGAAATGTAACTGTCATTACATGGGATTCTGCAGTTGTTTGGCTGATAAAAGCAGGGTTGCAGTCACCCGCTCCAACTTCTTTTGGCGGCAAACCCCTAAACATGACCTTTCCTAGTGAAAGCAATGTAGAGAAAGTAGAGTAGTCCTCAAATTACAACCACAATTGAGTCCAGAATTTCTGTTGCTAGGCAAGACATTCGTTAAGGGATTTTGCCCCATTTTACGATCTTGCCACAGTTGTTGAGTGAATTGTTGTGGTTGTTTAGTTAGTAATAATGGTGGTTAAGTGAACCTGGCTTCCCCATTGATTTTGCTTGTCAATGGGGAATATCACATGATCACGTGACTGTGGGACCCTGCAATCGTCATAAATATGAGCCAGTTGCCAAGCATCCGAATTTTGATCACATGACCATGGAGATGTTGCAGTGGTTGTAAGTGTGAAAAACAGTCATGTCATTTTTTTTCAGCGCCGTTGTAACTTTGGTCACTAAATGAACTGTTGTAAGTTGAGGACTACCTATATGCTGAACTGAATGACCCACTGGTCTCTAGCAGAGGCAATAGAAGAGTTGAATACTTCATTCACAGTAGTGCTCAGTCTTCACCACATGTATTTCCTATCTTTCAGATACTGAATTTCTTTTGCATTTAATCACTCTTAGTTTTCACATCTGACTACTGTAATCCTTTTGTTTCCAGCCTTGCTGCCTTTCTTTCAGGAATATTATTTTTCCCTGTACAGTCTCATGAGATGTTTTTATTATTTCATTTTTTTCACCTGATACTTCAGGAACGTATTGCTTATTCTCTAACACATGTTCTGAATTCTGTCTTTCATAGTTCCATCATTAGATATTTGGTTCTATTTCTATGTTATGCTGTTCATGCCCACATTTTAAAAGTATAAGAATTGGTGCGTATGCATTTTTAAAATACCGCTTTTTTCTAAGGTTTTTCAGTTCAGCTGAAGATAGTTTTTGCCACTGTACCTCAGACCACGAGTTCAGTATTGAGATGATGGTTCAAAAACATCGTAAGTTTATTTCCAAATATTGTATGGTTCTTTTTTTTGCATTTTCAAAAGTTTACTAAACTTAAAGCTAGAAAAGGAAAAGAAGAGAAAAATAAAAAGACAAAATGGGAGATAGAGATTTACAAGCATTGTAAAATTAACTTTAAAATTTCAAAATTTATTTTCTGCATATTAGAATAGATTGTATCAATTTAAAGTTTTAAGAATGTTAAAATAAATCTGCTAAAAACAAGGCAGGCAATAATTAATTATAATCAATATGACAAATTGTTTTAAATGAAAAAAATTACAATAATTTTTGGCCAACAAAAAAAATGGCAAATTCAAAACTTAAAGAGATTAAACATTAAAGTCTTATACCAGTGATGGCGAACCTTTTAGAGACCGAGTGCCCAAAAACCGTCCCCCGTCCCCACCCTGCTCACTGGGCCACCCACCTCCTCCACAGCCCGCCACAGATCACCCAAGTGGCCCAGCAGTGCCATGGTAGCCACATGGGAGGAGGCGGGGCTAGGGCTACAGCGCGTGTGCCCACAGAGAGGGCTCCAAGTGCCGCCTCTGGCACACGTGCCATAGGTTCGCCACCACTGTCTTATACTATATGAAGGTGAAAAAATAAACTTTTGATGTGTTACTTATAGGGCAATAATTGTTTCCATGTTGAATTAAATTGAATATCAGATGTGTTTTTTAAAATATTGATTTTTATGTCGGTGTATGTTCCCAGAACTTAATTTAACCATTTTTCTAGAGAAGAAATTGTTCATAAATTTTAGTGAAAAGAATGGATGCAATAGTTACTTTGGATTTTTTCATATTTGGTGGCAATGTTGTAAAGCTTAACAATTCAGAAGAAATATTGATGTTGGAATATAACAAATTTTAAAGATTAAGTTTTCTTCCCAGCTTTCTATTCTTTTTAACTAAACATTTTTAAATCTTCTGTTTGCACAAAATAAAATATTATCTGCTGGTTATTTAGTGTCTTATTTTCAATTCTTATTGGAATTCTTTGGGATAAAAAATGGACAAAATGTTCATTTTTACCACTGCAGTTCTTCCTAACCAATAAAGTATCAACTTTCTCCATTTTGAAATATTTGCCATTATACTTCTCCAATTCAGGGAATAAATCTTTTAATTTTTGTTAATAAATTCCCAAATATTTAATCCATTTAATAATAATGTTGAAGGCTGTTTTTATTGTAGGTAGGTTTTTTTTCTTATTTATGGTTCTATTGCCATTTCATTTTTTACAAATTGGGCATTTTATTCTTTAGGGAAAATAATTGCCAGGCCTTATTCAGAGTGTTCCCCTTACTTGTATAAAACTGTTGTCCAGTGTTTGTATGATACTTTATTTATCTTATTTGTTTGTGAAATTATCTTTATTGGTGTGGAGTGTCTTTAGAAAAAATTCATTCTAGAATTTAACAAACAATGACGTATCTGTGTATAAATACCCTTTACAAATTTGTGTGTGTGTCTGTGAGTAGAATTTTTAGCATGTTCATGATTGTGGGAAGGATGTCTTACCTTGCTATACAATTTAACACATACTAAATTCGTTTTCATTTGTAAAGTGAATTAGATTGTTTTCTGGTGAGTGGAATAATAGAATATTTAAGTTGAAATATATGGAAGTATGATGTGAAGAATAAGCAGTTAAAGTGTTGAAATGGCACTTAGGGAAACTCAAGCTTAAGTCCACCTTTACTACAGAAGATCATTAGGTGATTTTGAGCCAGTCATTCTCTTTCAACTCAATCTCCCTCATAACACTATTGTGGCGAAATAGTAGGATGAGAAACTGTGCATATTGCCTGGAAGACTTGCAAGAAAAGTGGGGCAATCACTTTTGTTACCTACAAAAGCCTCTACCTCGCTGATATATTCCAGCAGAGGGAGCATGCCACATTCCCCAATTCTTAGAATACTGGTAAAGACACAAGCCGTTCCTGTGATGAATCCCACACTCTACAATACTCTGCTATCTCCTTGCAGAGTTGACTGCCTTAAATAGTGTTATTCCCAGAATCTTTAGGAAATATGTGCTATTGTAATGTCTGAATGTTGGCTACGTTATCCAACATTTATGAATGTATCTATTGTTACCTTTTAAATATTTTAAATATTAATAATTTGGGAGTCAGTTTGGTGTAGATTTTAAGCCAGCAAGCTAGAAACTGGAGGGGGTGCGAGTTCTAGTCCTGCCTGAGGCACTTTGCCAGCCTCTCTCAGCCACAGAAGAAGACCATGTTAAGCTGTTTCCCAAAATCTGCAGGGATTAGCTCAGACAGTCATCAGGAATCAACATTGACTCAAAGGGGTATGTGCACACATGCACATCAGTTGCTGGTCAAGTCGTTTCTACTAAGATTGTTTTATTTTGCCAGATGTAAACTGCTTAAAATTTGCGATTGTAAGTAGTGTAAGTCATTACATTAATAAATAAGATATGTTAATTTTTAAGATAAGATGAAATATAATATTCCATTTAATGTAGCAAACTTGTATTTGTACTGAACTTGACAAAGAAAATCAATACAGAAATAAAATAATGGGAGGAAATATAAGAACACATGAGAGTAAACAGATTAAGATTCTGATAAACATTTCTGTTCTTCTGCTTCTTTCAGGGCTTGATTTCTATGGCTACATTAAGCTAGTAAATTTTATTAGACTGCAAGTAAGTTTCCAGATATTTTGTAAAGTAGATGTAATTTAAATAATGTTATTTAAATTAGCGGTGGGAAGAATATGTTCTACCTTTGGTATTAGGTTTCTGAGAATGCCACTTGAAAAAATTGTGAGAGTGCAAAAACTAAACCAAATGTGAATGTAAAATCGATTTTTAAAAATTATTTATGGTGGATTATCTTGATGCCTAGAATATTATTTCACTTAAAAACCATAGTTAATTGGGTTAGCTTATAAATACAGTAAATAAGTATGCATAATATTCAAGGCAATCTGGAAGTGTTAGATCACTCTTAACATCATAACTGTAGACATTTCTTACCCAAATGAGGACCTCAATGTTCACTGATGTTTATTGTTTCTAGATCTAATTTTAGAGTTACTTATTGTTAGCAACAGCTTGTTGTTAATGGCAAGCAATGGATTTGGAAATGATATATTGTATATATGTTTATGTATATTCTTTGTTAGATGTTTGTTTATTCATGTCAGAAGCATCACAATTAAAATAAGGCACACTAGATGACAAAATATAAAATACAAGATGAATCCGTTCTTAGTTGACAAGGGTAAAAGTTCAAGTTCAAGTTAGCACTAAAAAAAGATTTTTCTTGGATGGGAAATTAGGTGCATTATATAGGCATGAAAGGTAAGAAATAGATAAAGACTCTCTTCAGCTATAAAATAGAGGAGGAATGTATCAGTTGTAGAATTATGCTACAGGTAGTTCATATGTCTAACTTTAAAAACTCCAGTTTGTTATTTGTGTCTATGATTCATTCTTAGAATAGTCTGTCACCTCCATGTTCATTTACTATTTCAGAAGCCAGACGCAGAGTATGTTAATTCTCTTAGACCTCCATTTCCTTGGGATGAAGATAACTATTTGAAGCCTGTAATAGAAAATGATTTATTACTACAGTTTGGTAAATTTTCTTTTCATTTTACATTTTTGCAAAATTACAAGGAAATTTTTAATAACTTGAAGCCTTGTCCAAACCAAGTTAGTTTATATTTTCAAATGGGAATAGTAGTTATCTGTTCTTTAAACTGTTTGAAAATAGTATGGCAAGTTAACAAATCCCTTTAGGGAAAAAAATGTAAATTAGAGGCATTTTGGTGTTATATTGTGATTATTTCCAACATAGATCATTCATTATGGTGACTAAGGCTATTACTGTTTGTGTTCCATAACCAAGCCAGATACAGAGTGAAAATGATTTAAATCAGTTGCATCCAAGACTGACAGAAATTAACTAATATTGTCTTGATCTTTGCCAAGAATAGAACGTTTGATATGAGGAAAGAATCTTTCTGGACAATGGAAGCTATATTTTATTTTTTCATAAAGAACTTGATATCTCTTCTCTTCAACAGAGACTTATGGAATGTGGTAGCTTCTTGAATGTTTTGGAGAATTTGCATAAGCCAAAGCTGATGAACCTGTTGAAGCTCTTATTGATGCATGGAATATTACTTTTTGAATGAAGGGATTGAAATAATGATGCCTGTGTAGGCAAAGATGTTCTTAGAGATCCTTTTCTGGATCCTACTTCTGGTTTCAGTCTTTGATCTAAGGCAGAATAAATTTATCCTGATAGAAAATTTGTGAGAAGATATAGCAAATGCTATTATGTTGAGCCTACTTGATCTTTCACTTCTTTTTGACCACATGGGCCACAGAATTCTGCTAATTTGTCTCTGTGAGTTGGGGATATTCTGTTAAAAATATTTCACTCCTTCAAGGAGGTATGCAAATTGGAAAAATGTGCATAGTCTAAATGGGGTTGCACAAGTAGACCTAATAGATATTTTTCAACTGGTTTATCACTAAAATCAGAGGTTATGTTATGTGTGCTGAGTTGTAAACAGTAGTGCCTTGCATTGCTTATGGATGGTATAATTAATGGATGCTTTGTGATAGCATCTGCAGTCTAGAATACACTGTCCCTTGAAATCATTGAGGCACCTATGATTCTGTGTCTTCCATAGCTCTCTTTACATAGGACTATATGGATCCTGAACGAATAATACTCTATGGTGAACTCATACATATCTGTGTCGCACTATGAATCCAGTGGAATTTAGAGCTTATTTTTAAAGCTTATTAATTGCAAATTAGCAAATCCCTTTTGGAAAAAAGAATTTCAAAAATATTGGTGTTGATTGATTATCCATCAATACAGTTATTGTTGTTTTTTACTCCTAGCAAATATATGATAGATTTTGTCCATATATTGACTCTGGCTTGGTGAGTACTACACAAACAAAAGTAAAACAGACACGCTAATCCTTTGGATTGAGTCCTTTTATGCTTTGGAACTGGGAAGAAGCAACATGAGAAACTATTTTGACTATTGACTATTTGACTATTTGACCTTTCTTTAGCTGTTTATGAGTTCAGAATATACCCGCGGTGATTAAAGTCTTATTGGCAAATATTCAAACCCAGTTTCTTTTGGGGGCCCTACAAGCCATTTCTTTCTTTGGAAAGATTTCAGCCCAAGTTTTTGAGAACCATTTTCAAGCACCTTGTTGCATTTTGAACAGGTAACTGGCCTACCTAAAATCCAGACTTTTGCCTGGTTTTCATCTTCTCCTGTAGGCTTAAGCTCTCCTATTTTTCAGCCAGCTTGGCCCCTTTAATTATGATGGATAGCTTTCAGTTTTCCTGGTGCCAGGCAACACATGCTAAATTGCAATTTCATGGTTTTTTATGGCCAGCCATCACCTTGATAATCCATGTATGTGCACTAGCTGATCTAAAGCAGAGGGCTATTGACTTAGAGCTGCAAGCAAACTGTCCAGCTCTATCCAGAAACACTTTCTTGAGCCACTCTGCACATATCTTAACTGTATAATGATCCCAACATTCCTTATCCCTAGCCAGATTCAGTGCCCTTCCAACAGCTGTTGTTAAGGAAGATATGTAAAGTCCCCTTTGAACAAAGACTGTGGTGGAGGAATAATTGAAACAATAATACATGTTATACTGTATTGCCCTTTCTATACAGGTGTTACCAGAAATTTTTACTAAAATCTTTACTAAATATCCTGGTCATTCCGTTCTGTTTTACCTTAACATGTTGGATCAGTCTGATTTTATTTCCTTGATCACAGCCACATATTATTCTATAGTTTATGCAGTACAGTATAATATTTATTCTAAACCTTTTTAGATATTTTAGAACAATTATATTTTTTTTCCTTTTTGATCCTGGTTGCAACTTTTGTGTTTTATCTGCTGGTCAGTGACCGAATAAAGATTGATTGATTGTTGGTAGGGTATTGTATTACTGTACTAAGCAAAAGTAAGTAAAGAAAATTCACATTATACTCACTCCTCTGAGTTTACGTGTTGTGTTGTAATGATATGTGGGAACGATCTTGGAAGACAGGAGAAAAAGCTGGAGACTGACAATTGGTGTGTAAAAGATATCTCAACCCAGAGGAGGGATGGCATGGGAAATGTTTCAGAAGGGATCCTAGTTGTGTAACAAGAAAGTAAGAGAGGAAAATATTTTCAGTCTTGGAAGATTCTGTTAAAAGTAACCTTACAATAAAGACAGAGCTAGTGCTCCTGGCTGTGCTTCTTGTATGGATTACTTTTCAAAACTAACATATATTTAGGAAGCATGGTCAATATCCATTCTTATTCAAAGTTAAACCATTCCATTCCATATTTGTACAAAATTTGTGTGTTTTATTTGCAGATATAGAAGACCTTCTTGATTCTTCCAGTATCTCTTGTCCTAATGGAGTATCTGAGGCTTCATCTCTCCTTGAATGCTTGAAAAATGCTGAGCACAGAACTGAGTTGGCAGAAGTTGCATTGGCCAGAGCCCAAGATGATCTACAGAAAATGAGGTAATCATTTTGAATAATACACTTTTTAGTTCAAAATCTTAGTTGGAAACAACCTTGGCTATATTGTGATGATATAGGAGTATAATATCTAGTGTATTAAAGACAAGAAAAAATGAACAATTAGTCACTTTTAATGAATGGATCAATAAGAAGGAAGTAATTTTGTTCCACAAAATTGGATTCAGCTGAACTAAAACACAATCTCCTGTTGTTGAAATAATACAATAAAGAAAATAAACCCAGCAAAAAGGAAATAGCAAGAGATTTATTGGACAGTGAAAAGGAAATGTGGGCTGAATAGCATAATCATCAAGTGGATACATAGGTAGCTCGAAATAATCATAGTTAGAATGTCCTCTTTGAACTGGAGTGTTGTTATGACTAAGTGTCTAAAGTTTCAGCCCTAACACTTTTATTAGTGTTGGAAAAGTGATAGAGGGAAAGCTGTGCACATTTGCAAATGACGCAAAACTAGATGGATTATCTGGTACCCTAGAAAACAAATGAAATTCACAACAATTTGTATAGGTTAGAGAAATGTGCTGAAAGTAATAAATGAAGTTCAACAGAGAGAGATGTGAAGTTCATTTAAGATCAAAGGCACAGATAGAGGATTCAGGGAGGATGTCTGGCTTAATTACAGTGCTTATGAAAAAAGTATTTGAATAACAATTGATTGCAAAGCTGTATGAATCAGAAATACATCATTAGAAAAAAGTCACTTTAAGGCTCCATTAATATAATTATAATTTTTAAAACAAAAAAAATAATCATTACAATTTATTCTTCTTTGGTGAATTTTCATACTGAGTATATCTAGTTCTGGTTGGCACATTTTAAGAAGGATTTGGACAAATGAGAATGATATCATGGACAGCCAGTAAAGATGATCGGGGACTAGAAACTAAATCCTGCCAGAGATCAAGAAAGTATGAATAGGACTGAGCAGGATTATAACATGTTCAAATAACTGAATAATATTACTAGAAAGTCAAAACAGGTTCTTCATAATTCAAGAATGCATGTTGCTTTAATGGACTTAAGCTATTGAAAGACAGATTCTTATTTAATATTGAAAGAAGCAGTTTACCAGTAGAAATAATTACCATGGTAATGTCCCTTTCATTGGATGAGTCCAACTGGAGGCTTTAATTTAGATTACTGTCATAAACTATGGATTGGACTTGATGGCCTAAGTAGAGCATTCCAACTTGAATTCTTTCAACTGAGAATTGCTAAATCAATTCCTCCTGTTCTTTTATTTGGCTCAGTCCTGAGACAGGAGTATTTTGAGTCACAAAATTGATTGCAATGTCTATTCTGAAGGCACAGACTGAGCACGACTCTGCACTGTTCTTACCCCTTCATTAGTGGCTAGTGATCCAACTAGAACATACATAGGGTATCGGTAGCTGACCAGACATTATCCTGTGTATCTGTCAGCAACTCCCATCAGCATCGCCAGTACCCAGGGATGTTGAAATTGATCAATGTTGATAGTGTCATCCAAATATTTTTGTTGCTATAAAAAGTACAGACTGGAATGTCCTAGACAGCTACCTTTAAATCCTGCTTTACAGGAAGAGAATCGGATGCCCAAGGCTGCATCAAAACACACTTAAAATGTTTTAGTTATAGGCTAGAAAGGAAGTCAGAAATCATCCTAGAAAGGCATTGGCAAACATTTCTGTACTTTTGCTACAAAAATCACAAGAGTAAGTCCATTTCATTACCAAGAGTTAAGATTTATTTGATGTAGACTTGCCTGTAAAATAATAGAATGGCTTCTGTTCCACATTCTAGTTGCTTTATATGTGGTATTCTGAAATTATAGCCACGGTTCTTTCAAATAGTATTTTTGTTTTTTAAAAATAGACTTTTGGATTATTGTGTTCTTAAAATCACTCAGTAAGGAACGGCTATTGCCTTGTAGACTTTTATTGTTTTTGTAGCAGAAAGAGGATGCTGGAAAATTATAGTATTGTTTAAAATGCCTTTAAAATGTTAATTTCTCCACTATTATGGTCCTGTGACTGTCTTCTACTTTTTCTTTATTTTTTGCTATTCCTTGAAAGATTATTATTTTTAAAGGTTGCTAAACTACTTTAAAGTAATTGGACAAAGTTTTTCTAACATCAGCTTGATTATTTGGAGTCTATTCCCTGCTGTTTTATGTTTTCTGAAAGCACCTTTCAAAACATTATCATCTTTATATACATTTTGCTTTACTTCAGCTGGAATTGTGTACCTTTGAGTCATTATTGACTCCTGGTGTCTAGCTGGATTCGTCCCTGCAGTTTTCTTGGCAAGGTTTTTCGGAGGTAGTTTGCCATTGCCTTCTGCTTCCTAAGCCTGAGAGAGAATCCTGGCTCAAGGTCACCCAGTTGGCTTTGTGTCTGAGGAAGGACTAGGATTCATAGTGTTAACTGCAAAGGAAACACAATCTTTCCATTTCCCCACCACCATCCTGTCAGAACCTATCATTCCCCCCCCACAACTAATCTCAGCTATCAATAACTGTTCTTCCATCTCCCACAGCATCCAATATAACTGATGAAGATTCCAGGATAGGAAGCAAAACATCTTTTTTCCTCAAAAAAATCAGTCCAATTGCGTTTTTAAAAATAAAAACCACTTTGGATACATTTGACTAGAACTCGTAGTTTCCCAGTATCTAGCCTAGTGTCTTAACCACTACACCAAATTGACTCTCGTAGTTAGAATTGAGTAAGGTTATAGAAACAACCAGATATACCGTAGTTTTTCATGCCCTGGAATGTCAAAAAATACTGAGGTTGAAATTCAAAAGAATTCCAAGCAACTTTCAATGCAGTAGCCAGCAGAGGGAGCTTCAGCATGTGGAAGGCACCAAATAGCACAGTATGCAACCTATATGCTGCCTTTTTATAGTTCTTATGCTACTGTATGTCTTGAGGGTATGTTTCAAATTGATTACAGGCAATTTGCACAGGATTTGGTGATGAACACAGAAATCCGAAGTAGCTCATCTGATAGCAGGATTGGAAACTTAAAGGAGGATGAGGAAGATGTTTACTTCAGCTCGTACGGGCACTTTGGGATCCATGAAGAAATGCTAAAGGTTAGGAAATGAACAGAAGCATGTCTTATGGCAAGAAAGATGGAAGGGAGGCTGTTTCCCCATACGTATACTGCAATACAGCTGCATTTTTAACCCTATCCACACTAGATTGTTATCCTGGTGAAGCTCAGGTAAAAATGCAAGGAAAAAAGTGAACAAAATAATAAGAGAAAACATACATGTAAAAACACAGTTCAAAATCCAAAGGACCATATATAATCTGGTCTCCCCATATGCTGCTTTGGTTCTTTTTCTTCTAAGATTTACATATCCCCTTCAGTGTGGATAGGAGTTCAGCCATATGATAGCTAATATAGATTTAGGTCTTAAATTTAGGTCATAAACGCAATAGAAGAAACTCTGGAGGCAATTCTTCTATAATATTTTGATATTAAATAATTGGGGTAATTAGATTAAATTTTGACAGTTGTGCATTTGCTAGCCTTTGGGATTTTATCTACATTAGTGACAGCATTTACATTGTAGCATCTGCTTCTAAGTATGTGACTAGTACAGGAAAAAAATGGCAAAACAAAGGAACGATCCTATGGATAATACGGATTCACATTCCATGTGAGCCTAGTTCCCCCATAATATTAACCACTCAACCATGATTTATAAATTACAGTGTCTGGATTTCTGTGTCAGGCTGAACTCCAGATGAACAATCAACTGTATAAGCTAGAAATTAATCAGTGCCTTGGCTCGGTAAGAGAAGACTGATAAAATATCTTCTTGCTTAAGCAGAGATGGGAACTCTGGGTCCCTCCAAATACGGAAGGGTTGCAGTACTGTTAGGATGAACAGTTTCAAGATTTTCAGACTTGTAGCCTTTACTATAGCCTGAGGTCCAGTGCTTCCACAGCACCATCCATGCTTAGAATTGAGCTTTAAATTCAAAGCTGCATAATATTTGTGACCTTACAGTATATTCTCTTGTCTTTAAAATATGGCATATTTAATAAACAAAATGCTTCTGAAACAATGATGCTAGAATCAGATAAGTACTGCTGAGTAAAGAGACGGCCTAATATTAATTACCTGGCAGAAGCTAAATTAAGCAGCCTTCTAAATATGCCCAAGGGTGGGAGCACCTGAGTTGTCAAATAGTGAAGCCCATATCATTGCATTGCTGATGAAGAACAGCCAATTCTACATCCTTGTTCTTTGAAACTCTGATGGGAGAGGAATGCAGAGCAAGTATTCCTGTGGACTGCAGCAAGTAAGATTCACAAATGAGAGTAGAGTAGTGTGTTGTTTTTTTTAGATAGGTGGGTTTGAAATTCACTAAAAATTTTCTATTTACATTATTTATCTATAAAATAATAATTTCAAGCTTCTCTCAAATTCTGATCAATCAATCTGAATCCTGAAAGGCACTGATACAGATATGTATGATTAATTCCTAAATGCAAGTTTTGGAATTCACTTTGCTAGCTGCTGCAGGAAATTGTACTTTTGTCCTTTTGATGTTTCATCTAGTGGTGCAGTGTCTGATTTGTATGCAAGGAGAAGTTCTCACTTTTTTTTTTAGTTCTTTTTATATATATTTTTTAAACCTGCATTTGTGAGGAGCTAAAAATAGGATCCCAGGGACTATCTTCGTTTGCTGATTGGTTCTCCAGCCATTTACACAGATAGTAAAGCATATGATTTCCTGGCAGTTTGTCTCTCTGCCCACAGTTATTAAAGGGAATGATGTTAGTTGCTAAACAGGTTACAGAGTCAGCTCTTAACACAGGGTATTACATCTATTCAAGTGTGCAAACTGGAAAACTACTGTACTTTGTACACTGTAGAGTGGCTTGCACAGCTTCTATGAGTTACTTAGTTTTGTACCTTTTTAGCTTTATACATGTGAACTTCAGCAAAAGCCGAAATAAGAAATAAGTGGGTAGGTGTGCATCCTGAATATCAAATTAAGACTAGTATTTTATTGCTTTTACAACATTGTACTACTGTGCTTGAAAAATTAGAAAAAGTCAGTAAAAAAGAAGATATGTGTATTATTTCCTTACAAACAGAAAGGATAAATAATTATCCTAGTATGTTTAACATTTCCACATTTCACTTAGGTCTGATAATTTTGTTGCTGCTATCTAAAAAACTGTATTAGAAATTCTGTAATCCTTAATAAAATACAATTTTTTTGTCAAATTCCAATGCCTGGTCATACTTAAAATATTGCTTTTGTTAGATGGGTTAACTGCTAGGTGATGAACTTTTGATATAACTATCATTGGACAATGAATAGTAGCCAGTGCTCAGAATACTTTTTTTTAATAGGATAAAGCACGTACTGAAAGCTATCGTGACTTCATATATCTAAACCCACACATCTTTAGAGATAAGGTAAGTGAGCTGGCTTTAAAACTGTTAATGTATTTGTAGCATGTGATGCACTAAGGTAATAAAAGTCTCCTGGATTGGATTCCTTCTACAATTGGGGTACTGAATCTTTTTGACAAGGCTTTGATTGAATATACTAAAGTCCTATTACATGGAGAGCATTATTCAGCTACAGGAGGGTGCAGAATACTGATAAGAGAAATGCTGATCAGCATTGTCATTGTTCAGTGTGCTCTTGTGAGTATTCATTAATTTTGATGACAAGGTTTTGTCGAACCTTTTCTTGTTTGCTCTTCTTAAGTGATATCTGAAATAAGTGTGTGAACACTTACCATTCTAAAAATCTATCACAAGTGAATTTCTAACCTGTGTGTGGTATGATAAAAGTTTCATGAAGCCCCAGAGGTACTAGTTTCTGGAAGAGTCCAGATTCCAGTTTTGGTTTGAGTGAAATCCATATAAATAATTCCTTCCTGGTAAGTTTATAAAAAATATTATTAGCAAGTTCTGCCTTTGTATGGGACTAAATCCGACTTCTGTGTGAAGAATTAAGGAGAAATTTCCTGACAGTGAGAATAATTAATAGTGGAATGGCCTGCCTTCGATAGCTGTGCGTGCTCCAACACTAGTGGCTTTTAAGAGGAGACTGGACAGCCACTTGTCTGGAATGGTATAGGGCAGGGGTAGTCAACCTTGGCTCTTTTATGACTCATGGACTTCAACTCCCAGAATTCCTGAGCCAACTGCTGGCTCAGGAATTCTGGGAGTTGAAGTCCACGAGTCATAAAAGAGCCAAGGTTGCCGACCCCTGGTATAGGGTGTCCTGCTTGGGCAGGGGTTTGAACTATGGTAGAAGATCTTTAAGATCCCTTCCAACTCTGTTATTCTGTATTCTGTAAACTATGGAATAAGAGTAAACAATAGGAAAGGAAGATCCAGTCAGTACATGCCATTGCATAGTCATATTAATATTCATATCATCCTTTGCCTCTGGAAGGATCCTTTTTCACATTGATTAGTTTTTGATCAAAAATGCAAATTTAGAAATTTCCTTCAATAAAAGTGTATCTTCTTCCATACATTATTTATTTTATTTTCTGGAAGGAATTTTTACCTTGGAGGTTGCAGTTAACATGTTTTTTATTTTTTAAAACTCTGGTAACAAAGCATATTCTGGGGGACTTTTCTTTAATATAATTATGCTAAGTGTATAATCTAGACCCTTTCTGTTGAGCAAAGAGGAATATTAACCCTGATTTTGTGTGTGCCACTTCTATGATATAAGGAATAGTTTTTATTTTTGTCTTGGAGCCAGAGAACAGGTAGAAAATATTTCTGTATTTGCATAATGAAGAATTCTTTATACCAATTCTTTATACCTTTATACCAATTCTTTATACCTTGATATTTATGGGAAACACTTGTAGCATTTAATTCATAATAAAAATATGTTGTCTTAAGGTCCAAAATGTTGAGTATGTGCAGAAAAGCAGTTCTGCTTGTGGAAGGTAGTCCCATCGAATTCTTCCAATTTTTACTTTCTCCAGGACACATGGTTTTCTAGAATGCTGGGAGGTACACTTCTAACAGGTCTCTTTTGGTTCCTCGATTGAACCTACACTGTATATTTATTTTATTTATTTTATTGATTGTTATCCTGCCTTTATTCCTTTATAAATAACTCAAGGCAGCACACATACCTAATACTCCTTCCTACTTTTGTTTTTCCCACAATAGCAACCCTGTGAAGTGAAACATGGATAACCTTGGACATAGCAAGTGGAGTAGGAGTATCTGCTGTTATAGACCATTTTTTGTTAACTTGGAACAAATATTGTTTTGCCTTGATATTATTCATAAGCAATTGCCTATGCATGCTTAAATGGAGAAAGGCAACGATGGCTGAAGTTCACACATCTTAAAATGTGGTGGCAGTGGTTACAATGCAGTATTGCAGGCTAACTCTGTCTGTAGCCAGCAGTTCGATCCAAATTAGCTCAAGTTGACGGCCTTCCATCCTTCTGAGATTGGTAAAATGAGGACCCGGATTGTTGGAGGCAATATGCTGACACTGTGAACTGCTCAGAGGAATACTGGAATAGTTATAGGACAGCTATAGTCATAACTGATAATATGGATTTTTAAAGAGAACATTGTCTGAAAAATTGTTTTAGGAATCATTTACTCTAATTAGGGGCAGATAGGATATTGATTAGGATATAGTTTTCAACCTTTGGGCTTTGGAAAGTTTAATTTACAATAATCAAAAATAGTGCTTGAAAAGGATGGGAAAACCCAGCAATAAATGTTTGTGGAAGAAAAATGCTGAGTTTGATTGTGGCAAAGACCACAAATTCACAGGCAGATCATTCAAAAACAGGTACTTTCTTAATTTTTAACATGTTTCTGCCAAGTAAGTTGTTGGATCTGTGGGTTCTCGCTTAAAAAAAACTCTATAAGGTGGGATTGAAATCTGCTACTCTGCTTGATTCTATATAATGGATATTATAAAATAACTGACAATATTTCAAAATATTGCAGCATTTCTTCAGTTCCTAATTGGTTTTATATTTTTTGTTCAAATAGATTTTTTCTTTAATTCTATTTTCTTAAAAATGTCACTGTTCCAGCTTCTGCTGGTGTTGGGAGAGCTAAAGTACTAATTTTGAAAACTGCATTTAGACATGTATACTTATTATTGATACAAAACTCTGTCCTGCTAGCATGGAAATTGGATAGATTTATTAAAATAGTCTCAGTCCTTCGAATTGTTCATATTTTACTATGTTCACATCTTAACATAAGATCTAAATATGCCTTCCATGCTCCTGTGTGAATCTGCTGAATTTGTGTGTACTTAATTTTAGTCAGTAGAATCTGAAGAAATTTATTTATATATTTAAATGATTTATGTAGCAGCTCATCTCACAATGGTTATTTGGATTGGCGTACAAAGGTTAACAGAACTACTACAACAGATAACCCAAATGCAGATTGTAGAGGCATTTGTAGAGATTCATCAAATGTAGATGAATCATAAATCAGTGCCTCAATCATAATTATTCAGTGATTGAGGAAGTTGTAGAACTTAAGTATTTGTCTGCATACAACTTCCCTTGTTCAGTGACATATTGAAAAGCAAAAGGTAAGTCCATAGAGTTACAGTTCATCACCATCATGATCATTAGCATAATACAGATGAAGGAAATACTTCATTTATAGCTTATATGGCTAGAGCAGGGGTGTCAAACTCGCGACGTCACGTGACATCGCGCAACGTATCGGGCCGATTTTACCATTGCCGGGAATGGGGTGGGCGCGGCTTCTGGATGACGCGTCCGGCCTGCAGGACGGCAGTTTGACACTCCTGGGCTAGAGAGTTACCTGAAATTTCCATATATTAAAAAATTAAATATCTTAAGTCTATATAAATACTTAATAAACACAGCACATTTCAAAAAACACCTCATTATTGTGTAGAATGAGTTCATTTTAAAGTGAAAATCTTTTAATTTATTTCAAGAAATGGACAATTCTTACTGCCATGCCAACATTTAAAATATTATTTGCAAGGGGAGAGATGCATTTTCTCTATGGTTCTGCTGGCTGTCATATAATTTAATCTGTATAAATAAGAAGAAATATAATTGTGGTAACATTTTCTTTACAGTTGGCATTTTTTTAAGATAATGAATAGATATAAGATCCAGCTTTGCCAAAAAAAAAAAAAAAGGCAAGGGTCTGCTTCCATTCCATGTTGCTATGGTGGAAGCTCATTGTTTTAATTCCTTCTGATAAGTATTTGGAACATCAATCAGAGAAGCTTGAGAAGAAAGTTTAGATACCATGGTGGCTAAAATATAGGACAGGGGTCTTCAAACTTGGCCCTTTTGTGGACTTCAACTCCCAGAATTCCTCAGCCAGGCACACTAGCTGAGGGATTCTGGGAGTTGAAGTCCACAAGTCATGAAAGGGCCAAGTTTGAAGACCCCTGGTATAGGAAGATTTGCTTTTCAGTTACCGTATTTTCCGGCGTATAAGACGACTTTCTAAACCCTGAAAATCTTCTCAAAAGTCGGGGGTCGTCTTATACGCCCAGTCGTCTTATATGCCGGAAAATACGGGTATTCTATTTTATTCCTTTATACATGTGGTTTGGCATATTACTCATCAAGTTTTCTCTCCCCCCCTCTCTCTCTCGCTCAAACTCTATATTTTAACTGGAAAAGTTGGGGGTCGTCTTATACACCCAGTCGTCTTATATGCCGGAAAATATGGTACCTTAAGTTGCCTTTAGGTTGATATTAATACTATCCTTTTCAAGCACATGTGCTATTTTGTCTTTTGGGTCCATAGTATTTTATCCATATCTATTCATTTTGTTTTTTAATTGCTCTCTTTCTGTGCTAAAATTGTTTATTAGGAAAGGAGCTTTGCACTTGTGGGTTTGATCTTTGTCCCATCTGACTGCTAGAGAAAGTTCAGGAAAATGAGTGTAGGATTTTGTAAATGCGTCCTGCAGGAAGGGGAGATGTCAGTGTCACTGAAGAGAGCATTTGATTGCCCCTCCTTAAAAGGGTTACTATGGACCCAGCTGAATTGAATAATTGTTGTCCAGCCTTTAACCTGTCTTTTGGGGAAAATTTATGGAGATGGTAGGATGTTAGCTACAAAACATCCCTGAGGAAACATTATCTGGATCCTTTTTAGTCAGGGGTCATGCCTGGGGATGATGGAAAGTGCATTGGTCACTCTTGCTGAGTTTTGACAAGACTTAAAAATTCTGCTAGCTGTTTCAGCAGCTTTTTATACCAGTTTGGTCCATTGGTTAAAGTACCAGACTAGAAAGCAGGAGACTGGGGGTTCAACTCCCACCTTAACCATTAAAGGTAGCTGGCTGACCTTGGGCCAGTCATACTCTCTCATTTCACATGGTTGCTGTTGTGGGGAAATACAAGGAAATGTAGTTATGTTTCCCATTTGCAATCTTCTCTGCCAGCTTCCCCAGAAAGTCAATGGAGGAGCCAGCAAGGAAGTTGCCGCACAACTGAGATTCCCTCCTAATGTCATGGTTCCGACAGATGAAACTCTTCAAAAGAACTTTGAGGCATTGTTTACCTTAAAGAATCTTTATTTTGAGTAGCATAACATTGGCACTGCAAAATCGAAGCCAAAAACTGAATTCCCCTCCCCTGAGCACATAGTATCAAAGCACAATTCCCTCCTCCAATTAACAGCCATAAATCACATTCCCCAATTAGCTTGAAGCATGGACTTCCTCTCCAGTTCTCCAGCTGCCAATTCCTTATCAGCTCTGGTTAAAATAACCTTGTTTCCCAAGCTAGGTTTAGTGTTGTTATGTCTAGCTGGACTCTCCTTCACATTCCCCCTCCCAGCATCATCTAACTCTAAAAGCAAAAGGTAAAAGATGGCTACATTTCCATCTGTTGTCTATGCAAAAACATCCGATGTTAGCAGCGTTGACACCTGGCAGGCAGGACTTTGAGAGCCAAAGGGTTTGGGTTTGCATGTAGCTGGAATCCCCTCCCCAAAAGAAAAGGGCTGCTTGCCAGAGGAGGAGAACTCCTCTGGCAGGCTGCAGAAATGGGGGACAAATCTGATCTCTGTTCCTGCAGCCCTTCAGAGGCAGTCCCTTGTGGCCACAAGAGTTTATAGCTTCCCAAACAAATCCATTTCATATTTTCCTTTCTTCCTTGCAGACAATTTTCTTTTTATTTCTTCGGCTTAAAAGTTATTGCAAAATCTCTGATTTTGTTTTTAGTTATGAACTAAGAATAAAATAAAGCCTCCTTCAGATTCTAGCTTGTTAGGAGAATGATAAACCATGAATGATTCTACATTCAGAATGATTTCTGACTTTTTATTGCCTGATTTCGCTGCTATTAGTGACAGAGACTAATGTGGAACATGCATGGTTATTATCATGAAGCCAGAATTCTGTGTGCGTTTTGTCATGGTTTTGATCAGTAAGAAACAGACCCCTGGCCAACCAGCAGATCTTACTGGCCAACCCACCACCTGATCTTTCCACCTTCATCTCCTTCTCTTTCTTCTCTCAGATCATTAATGTCCATTTCTTTTTCCTGATCTTTTCTTCCCACTTCTGCTCAAAATAACATTATTTTGGTCCATGTTCCAAACAAAACAGCACCGCTTTATTTGATATTTGGACCAAAACATTCAAAATGCATGTTTTAGTTCAGGTACCAATCAACTCAGTACAGCTTATGTACTGTTTCCCCTCCCCCTTTTTCCCCAGAATGCAGATAACCCTTCATTGGATGTGTTCAAAGAGTGGTTAGACAACCATTTTCCTGGGATTCTTTAACTTGGATTCCCGTGCTGAGCAGGAAGTTGGACCTGATGGCTTAAATGTGGTTCTAAGTGTTTCTTGCCTCTGGTCTATTGGCAAGCAATTTTGTTGAAGGCTGCCAGGTGTCCTGGTACTGCTGGTTGTTGTGAATATCTCAGAATTGCAACATGAGTTCAGAAGTGCCAAATGTTTTTGTTCTGCATCTGAAGAGGGGTGGTTTTTTTTGTGGACTGAGGAGACATATGCTTATAACAGTAAGACAGATCCTCAACCTTGGCAACTTTTAAGACTTGTGGATTTCAACTCCCAGAATTCTTCAGCCAGCAAAACTGGCTGAGGAATTCTGGGAGTTGAAGTCCACAAGTCTTAAAGTTGCCAAGGTTGAGGACTCCTGCAGTAAGACGTTAAATGGTTTTTAATCAAGACTCTAGATTCTGAAGACTTTCAGTGTAAATTTTAACAACTTCAGAATTTTCAAGTTTTATATTTTAGAACTCATTTCTGTTCGAGAAAACATTAACACTGAGTATGCATAACTAGATTTTTGGTTACAGATATTATTTAGTAACATCATTCAATGTCTTCATCATTATTTTGTAACCATTATCCCATTGCAATAACTTGCTTTTTTTCTTTGTATTTTATTAGATTGTCCTAGATGTTGGATGTGGCACTGGAATCCTTTCCATGTTTGCTGCCAAAGCAGGTGCAAAAAAGGTGATAGGAGTGGATCAATCTGAAATCATTTATCAAGCCATGGACATCATTAGGTAGGCACCCTTCACAAATTTGACTTCATTAAAATAAATGATAATGCTTAAAGAGACTTTGAAGGGACTTTAGTCATATCAGGCCTATTTTTGTTCCAAGACTAGGCATTAAATGGAAGCCATGTATTCTTGGGCTTCTAATAAAGACCTGTGACCTGTAAGCAGGCCATGTTTTACTTTTTTATTTTCTGCAGGATAAAATTATAACTATGTTGTTCAAAAAAGTCAGTGTTATAAATGTTCGGGGAATAATCCTCCTATAATGCATCATTTTATTTGCAAGCAACGGGGAACAGAAGTACTCACTTACTTTGAAAGGTTGGTTTATTTCTTTTTTGAAAGCAGTACTTCCCCACTACTGTCACTATGATTTTTACAGATGGGAAATCATTTGATTTATTATTTGCAAGAATATGTTAAGTCATATATCAAAAGCAAAACGTCTGCTGTATGGAGTATGGAATAAAGAAATGATGGATGCTGTTTCCTTGTGTCGGTTTCAACTTATTTCTCGGAAAAAAGTGGAGGGGTATCAATACATTTGGCTGTATCTGTATTTTTGGTTTATTTTACGTTTAACAGATGTTATCAAGTTTAAGACTGTCACAATCACTAAACTCTCAGCTGTTATAAGAGTAAAATAGCTATTTAAAATACATTATTGAAAAGTCTAAAACAACTATAAAACCAATTTTTAATAATTTATTATATATCAATCAAAAATCAGATTAAGCATTCTATCATCTCACATAAGGCCCCCAAATACTTAAGTTTTCAAAATTTTCACAGTGTTTAAAGAATAGTAGCCAGTATAATTTCGGTGGGGAGTCCTCTCCCTTCATACTTTATGGAACTGAGGGATCACATACAGTTTCTCTCAAGATGCATGTGTTGGGCAAGTCAATTCTGGTTTGAGAAAATCTTGCAGCTAATTCATTGCCAAATCACATATCAGTGATGGAACGATAGGAGTTTATAGGCTATGATGAACACTTTAAATTGCACTGAGAATCTGATATGAAGCTGGTAAAAGTGAACAGACCCTTGGTGAAAGACCACAGGGTTACTACATTCTGGATTAGTTGATCTTCAGAGGCAGGTACAAATATACAATCTGGGTCAGTCCTGGGACACATATATTCGCCTTTATTTGTGAGGTACCAGTATACAGGTAGTCCTCGAGTTACGAGTGTAATGGAGCCTGCCCATTCCACTTGTAATTTGAAAACCTGTAGAGTGAATCTTGTGCCTCGAACAAGATCACTCCCTTGCTCATTAAAACGCACGCAGCAGGGATTACCTGTAGTACATAAAGAGAGTGAATACTTGACTGACATCTCCACCTGCATAAATTAGAACTGCCTGATAAGGTAGAAATGGTAAAACATTGCCCCCAGTTTGCCAACCAGAAGCATTCTAGAAAAATACCATGGTCAATTGTATCAAGGCCAATGAGACCTCTAAAAGAATAGGGATATTCCACCTCCATCCAGGTCCCAACAGAGGTCAACCACAAGAGCGATTAGTGCTGTCCCACTTTGAAACAAGTCTAAATAATCTCTCTTTAGAGTCCTCCCACAATGACTCCAGTCTCAGTAACCTTCCCAAGAAAATGAAGGTTAGAAACAAGATAATAATTATTTAAAATTGCTAGGTTCAGGAAGAAGCAGGCCATAGAGAACTAGATGACCTTGGAGAAGAAATGTAGCAATTTACCAAATATTAAGCCCAAGAGAGGAAGAAAATATTAGAAAGAAACTTAAGCTGAAGGGCAAACTGCATCTTCTTTCAGAGTTGCAAATATAGTATATCCTCCAAAAATGAAGCACTGATCATCTCCTGGAGTTGACTGTTGCCCTTTTCCTGCTCTCTGAAAGAGCTGGGGAAGAGGGCATGGATCCAAACTGTAGATGGCTGAGGACATATTAGAGAGAACCATATTACTTCTTTACACTCCAGTAGGCCAAAATGAATCCCAGGTAAAATAACAAAATACTATCCCAGTCACACACATTGAACTCTGCCTATGAAGAGTCGAGATGGGTGAATCTGAGTGACTTTATCCACACAAAGCTGCACACTCATTGCAGCAACCAGGTAGGAGTCTATGCGAGACCCTCTTCCCAAAGGACTACCCTAAACAATGCCACTGCCTGTCAGTGCATTGAAAGAGGAAAAAAGTGTGTGCTTCTCCTGTCTTATTGCCACAGTGGAAGCTTGAATTTGAGTTTGGTTCTCCATGCTTGGCCAAGCTAGCTTCTTGTCTTCCTTCACTAGTGCAGTCAATCGTGATATATTGCTTCATCTCCTGGAGCTTCTCAGTAAACAAAAGACACATTTCAAGGTGAAATACACAAAGAGAGACCACTCAGGAGCAATTTCATCAAGTGGCCAGGCCACCTCTATATTAGCAAGCAGCCAGGTGCTCAATGGAACTGCTGGTAAGATTGTCGGGAACCTCCTCAAGTATTGGTGGAATCCATTTGGATTTCATTTGTTTTGTTTCAATTGGTGTTTGGGGAGTGTCAAAGATAGACCTAATGCCCAGGGAAACCCAGAATTAAATGAGAAGATGAGATATTAATTTCAAAAATAACACTACTCTTGATTGGATGCCAGTAATTATTTTCAATGTAAATATTGCCAGAGAATCCTAATTTGGTTAATTTATGGTTAGTATGGAATTACTGAGTTCATGAAGCTTTTCATTGCTGTTTATCCTCTAAAATGCTAAAATTATAATGAGGTTACTGACTTCTGTTGCACATCAGATGTAAGGTGATTGTACTATAATAAATGTTTAAGAAAGAATATAGATAATCATTGTGCCGGAGAAATAAATTGCAGTGGTGTGAATAATTACACTGCCCTGTCTGGTATTAGCTGTCGTGACAATGGCAAAAGAAAGAAAGATTGATAAGTTGTGCTTCAGAGAAAGTGCTATTAATCTTGAGTAATTTAATCTTGAGTTTCCTTGCACATATTTTTATTTAAAATGTGAAAAAATAGGATATCCATAAAGGAAATTGATATTACACCATCATGCTTCAGCTAAAATACTGCCGTTAACTAGGATGATTGTTTTCACAAACACTAGAAACATCAGTTACTTTACTAAAATTTAGTGGTGTCATTTATGGAAAGGACTGGTTAAAACTTCCATTTATCAACAGATTAAAAATCATTTTGTGAAAGTAAGTATCTGAATATAATTCTTTTTATAAAAAAGCTTACAGAACACTTTGGTGTATTCCACTAGGTTCAAAAATTGTGAATATTTGGTTAAAGCCCATTTGACTATTAGATTTCTCTCTCCCAGATTTTCTCTCAGTCACCAAAGCAAACTCATATTTGTCTCTGATCTTATAATTAAAACTTGAATGTAATTCATTTAACATAATTTTAATGGCAGACCAATTGATTTGCAACATATGAGCGCATTTTGAAATCATCTGTTGATTTTTGGAAGCTTCTAATTGGTGGGATGTATAAAATCAAATAAGAGATGTGAATACTTATTGAGACTGTACAAAGCATTTGAAAGAAGTGCAAAATACATTAATGCAGATTAGCGTTAGTCTCTTCACAGCATTAAAACAGCCTTTGGAATGCTTATGTAGTTGTTTTTCCCCTAGCTGTTTTTATATACAGATTCTTGCATAGCCCTTCATGTCTCTGGCATTCCAATTATCTGGGCATATATATGCATACCAATGCATGTCTGAAATAACTACATAAGTTTCCTAAGGATGTGACTTTTAATGTTTTGAGAAGGGGTGCTTCACTCATATTAACAAACTATGCAAAAAGCCCTTTTTGAATGCTTTACAAACTCTTTAACACTTCCAGATACAAACCTACAGTACTTGATAGAAGAGAATACCTGTGCTCAGAGTTGAACTGTGTAGGGCAGGGGTAGGCAACCTTGGCTCTTTTATGACTCGTGGACTTCAACTCCCAGAATTCCTGAGCCAGCATAGTTGGCTCAGGAATTCTGGGAGTTGAAGTCCACGAGTCATAAAAGAGCCAAGGTTGCCTACCCCTGGTGTAGGGTCTTTGGTGCTCTCTAAACTTGGTGGTACACTGATGATATTATCTGAACAATCTGCAAAAAACAAACAAACACCAAGTTCAGAGAGCACCAAAGACCCCACACTATAGTATTCGCTTTTTCATTTTTCCTTTACATTTGTATTAGTGGCTTACATTTTCTATTACGTATTTCCTTTCTGAAAATAAATAAATTTGCATCTAAGTCTTGGAGAAGAATAAGCTGTGTTATATAAATAAAGGATTGCACATCTCAGATAATAATTTTGTAATACTGTTAACAATGCTTATGGAAGCAGTACTTACTTCCCTAAACTATTGAAAAGCATCCTTGAGACTCAGAAGGCTAAAAGCACTGCAGCTATCTCGAAGAAATGCTAGCATTTCCCTAGGCTGTCTTCTTCTATTGTTCATCAATACCTTTTTTTTCTTAGGAGAAAATCAGAGGCATACGTTCCCAAGCAAATATTTGAAAATGAAGTGGCTGATTTTCTATTGAACTCCAAATCCTGCTGGCCTATGTTAGTAACAAATAAGGGAGGGTCTGTTTGTGGATTCCCATAGGTCAGTCCAAAACATCCATTTTCTTAATGTCTCATAGGCAAAACTTTCTAGGTTCTTCAGTACCGTGTTCTGTGGTATCTCACTTAAAATCATACAAGGGATTCCTATGCAAGTACGATTTGCAATTCTTGAGTACAGACAATGTAGCTGTATTAGCAAAAAACATTTGTGGAACAGTTCTCTGTTATTACAAATACTTATTAATAGTAATGTTGGAGTACTTTCAGGTAAAACATAATTAGAAAACATATAACATGCCCTTGCCCTTTGCCTTGCAGGATCAATGGACTTGAAGATAGTATTTGTTTGATCAAAGGAAGAATTGAAGAAGTTGATATGCCTGTTGAAAAAGTAGATGTTATCATATCTGAATGGATGGTAAGAATATGTTTTGCATAAATGTGGAGCCATAATTTCAAACGTGCTAAAATATTATGTGGCAAATGGTCATATTTTTAATCATTGTTACTATTGTGTTCTTGTTCTAAAACAGACATGTCAAACTCGCGACGTCATGTGACGTTGCGCAACGTATCGGAGCTTTTTTGCCATTGCCGGCAATGGGGTAGGCGCGGCTCTGGTATGATGAAACCAACCTGCGGGCCGGCAGTTTGACACCCCTGTTCTAAAATGACAGGAAATAATTTGCCCCAGTAATGACATAATAACATTTGTTTGAAATCTTTTAGACTAGTATTTCACCATGATTTATCATAGCCATCAAGTGGCATGTAAAAGATATAGAAGAAACTATACGTGCACATATGTGAATGTATTTGCATGTAGATAGAATTCAGAATGACAGAATTGGAAGGGACCTTGGAGGTCTTCTAGTCCAACCCCCTGTTCAAGCAGGAGACCCTATACCTTTCCAGACAAGTGGCTGTCCAGTCTCTTCTTAAAAACTTCAAAGTATCTGAATACTTTGATAAGCATTCAAAGTTACAATGGCACTGCAAAAAGGGAGCTTTTTTAGAAGCTGAACAAAATTGCTAGTGTATATTGCTAGTAGGATATTGCTAGTGAGACAATATTGGTATTGATAAATCAAATGAGCAGACTTCAGTCCAGACAGAATTGTACTTCTGTTCCTGTGAGGTATTGAATTTTAAAAGGAAATTATGTTTAACACTAATTAGAGTAATTTTACAAATAATAAGCTGTGAAATGAAATCAGCTGTGCAGCACGCTGGTGCTAGGTTTTCAGAATATTCATTTTACTTATAAAGGGAGACCATTCACTCAGCACATGCTCTTGGGAGAAGCACGTGAGCGTGCTTTTTCTTCACATCTTGATGATTGAAATGTTGCTACCAGAAGGAAATAGACTGTGTTAAATCCATGGGCAGAATTTTTCTTCTAATGTATAAGGATCACTTTCTTGCAGTCAGTGCTAGATGCACACATGGGCACACATGGGCAGGCACAGGTATGCATATATCTGTATAAATACAAATCTAAATAAACACAGAAATGGACAAAGCGCTGACCAGCAGCATCCTCTTATCCAGAGTACTTTGCATAGCTGTTACAGAGAAAGTTGTGTGATTAAGGTGTTCACTAACCAATGATCAGGACATGGCAGAACAGGCAATGGACCAGGAGCATTACTAGGTTTGGGCTGGCTTTGAAAAAGGTGGGAGGGTTTTTTTTAGCTAACTTCTGCCCCCCATCCCATCTTGGTCTTATCAGTAGGCAGTGACAGTGTATAATAGTTCTGGTTCTGGTTCCAGCATCCCTGTGATTCCTCAGTCGAATTTGCCACCTACACTTGATAAAAGAAACAAATGGCAAATGTGACCAGTTACTGCTGTTCATATATTCATTAGCTATAATGCTTCTAGGCCAGAGGCACAGACAAATCACTGTTGTAGCTTCTTCGCCCAAGTGTAGGTGGCAAATTACTGGAGGAAAAAAAATCCCTGCAAATGAAGAGATATTGACAGATGTAGGCCAGAACTGATGTTTGCCCAGTCCTGATAGACACACTATGCAGGAATTTGAGAAAAATAATGTGGTGTGGAAAAACTATAGAAGACATCTCTTGGGATCAGTGGAATCATTGAAGAAATCATATTAGAATCCATGCTTGCGATATGAGGAAACGAGTTCCAAGAAGGATAATGAACAGAGTAATTAGAAGATAGAAAATGTATAGAAAATGAATGTTCAGAAAACTAAAGTTAATTGTCTTGGAATGTTCTTAAAGAGTTTTTTACACGGCTTTAAAATGACAATAAAGGTTATCTATCTCTTAAATATCAAAGGTAGCATAGCATCAAAATGCATAAGACAGTATAATAATAATAATAATAATATAACAACAACAACAACAACAAAACAACAAAAGTTTGGATAGTGGACGTGGCAGTGCCTGGAGACAGCAGAATAGATGAGAAAGAACTGGAGAAGATAACAAAATACAAAGACCTACAAATAGAAATAGAAAGACTGTGGCAAAAGCAAGCAAGGGTAGTACCAATAGTAATAGGCACCTTGGGTGCAATCCCAAAACAACTGGAGCACCACTTGAACACCATTCGCATTGACAAATTCGCCATTAGTCAATTGCAAAAGGCGGCCTTACTGGGAACTGCTTCCATCCTGCGACGATATCTGTAATACCATCAAACATCCACATCTGCCTATCCCAGGTCCTTGGTAAGGACTAGATAGGTAGTCAAAAATGCCAAATCCAGTCTGAACATGTGGCTGACTGTGCGATGATCAATAATAATAATAATAATAATAATAATAATAATAATAATAATAATAATAATAATAATAATAATAATGCCAAACATGTTTTGAAAGCAGAATGAAAGATAATTATAACTGAGTTGAACTAAGCCTAGAGCTTTTTCCAAGTTTTGAATTCGCTAGCTTGGAATAATCAGGTTTTTTTTGTGTGTGGTGGGGAATTAAGTTTGGACTTAAAGCCTTTTTTAAAAAAAAACAAACAAACACATTTCAGTGCTGTGTGGCTCATCCCTACAACAATTTTATTTGAAGCAAACTTGAAATTGCAAACTTGCTATCTAGAGATAAAATTGACCCATCACAAGACCCTCACTTGACACACCCACACCTGACCCATCACGAGACCTACTGACCACATGAAGCCCTTATAAAGAACACCGATACTGACATACCCTAAAACCCGCTGAACATTTTATCTAGTCCGGCAACGAAACCTTTGAAAACCAACCCACAAGCTCGGAGAATGAGCCTTCACCTACATAAAATTGCATGCAGGAGCATTTTTTTTATTATTCAACATCCAGAATCTTATTGTTTATTTCTGTTTCTATGAATCTTAATATACAGGTACGTTTCTGTCACCTAGATATGCCAGTATATCTCACAAAGCCCTTATATCTTTGTTCTATTTGCTATAAGCACTAACAAATACTTTTAATAGCTGAAACACTTCTATAATATGCAGTAATAAAACAGCCTTTCTTTGTTCATCTAAGAAAAAGCAAGTCAGTTGTATGTCTTCATTTGGTTGCCGCTTTCCGTCATTAGCATTCTCCTCACAAATCTGTGCAGTACAGAATACTTTGCTTTAATTAATTTTGAATTAATAATGCAACTTTTTAAAAAATATTTTTTAAATTTACACCTTGTCCATGTAGAAGCAGAAAAATCTCCAAGCATCATAGACCAAAAATGTCAGGTATAATTCTCTTTCCAGATGGCACCCCTACAGGTGAGGCAGCAGCCTGTGAAATTACATTCTAAATTACAGCAGAGATTAGCACCACACATAGAGCAAAACATTTTGAGATTGTTGATGAATGACTTGATTCAATATGATGGACAACCCCTTAGCAGCTTACAGGATGTGATAATCCATAAAGGAGGTTTGGATGGTTGAGGTTAAAACTGCAGTATCAGCCTGGAAAATATCAGAAGAGAACAGTGAGTTCTAAAAAAAATACCAGTTATTTTATTGGTGGTCTGCTTTTTTTAGCATGGCTGAGAAAGGTAATGATGTATTAATGCAATAATTGGTTGCTTCCAGTGATGGCTTTGTCCTAGCAGAAAACATTTCTCCTTCCCAGGGGTGTAATACTCAGTTTTCATTATACCTTTCCATGCTACGTGACACATTTTTTGTGGAGGATTCCTTGATTTTCATGTACACGTGGGGGGAGGGAGTGCAGTGCAGAAGGAGGAACAGCAGACATCTTGGGTCTCCTTGTGCAGAGAGAAATGCTCCATAGAGATACAAAAGATACTGTTGGATGCAAATATACATATGTCCTGCTATAAAAAACCTGCTTGCCATTTGTCCCTAGGGCTGTTGTTTGAGCAAACAGCAGCTAGAGAGAGAGCGAGAGAGAGAGAGCTGTTCAGTAGGAAACTGATGAAAGCTTTCTGTCAGAAGCACTTTCTGGATCAAGCTGTTCTGGCTGCTATTTTTCTCCAAAATAAAATCGCTATCTTAACCTTGCTTATTTAACCCTCGGTTCTAAATAAAGTTGAGCCTTCTTATCAGTAGAAAAATTGCTTCTTTCTCATTGCTGTATTCCTTTTTTAGAGAATAGATTTCCTATCCTTTTGCATATGCTGAGATTCAAACCTACCTTTCCAGCTATGCACAGTTGGTGTGCACTCTGAGAATAAAATATTATTGGCTGTTAGGTATAATTATAATCTGGTGTTCAGCCTTTTGAGAGAAACCCAGTCCTAACCCTCCTTTGCTTTCCAGGATATTGCTAAGGAGGAATTCAGAAACTTTAATTTCTTTTGTACATTAACCCGATTTAATCCAGGCAAACTGTGATTAAACTTAAACTTTGATTTGTAGTTCAAATATAGTTTGTAAAGCGAATTCATTTTATCAGTAGATTAACTTAAGTTTCACATGACACACAGTGCTGTTATTCTAAAATAAAAGCCAAATTTACAGTTTCTTCTTTGCAGCCATGTTGAAGAAGTGGGAATGGGCTGGGAACTAGAGCATGTACATGGCCTAAAAGGAAGCTATGCTTCTTAATACAAAGCTATTATTTTTATCCTATATATAATCAGTGTCAGGTCTTGAGGTTCTTTACATTTTATGTGCATGCCTCCACACCAGCACAATTTGTTGAGCTTCTCTATAATTTCCAGTGGGAACCTAAGCATTCCTGTCTCTGTGGTGGTTTTGTAGCAGGAATTGGGTGAGTTGTCTTTTTGGCTTGTATGACATTTGTGGTTGACCTTTGCTGGATTTGAGAGCTGAAGTTTTTATTATTTTATTATGCCCCTTTATGTACAAAAAGAGAGATGATCTTCAGAGATTTCATTAGTCACATTTTGTACATATTGATACTAACAATCAATTAAAGTGAAATCTGTGGCCTCTTCCTTCAGGAATTGTGAAATGCTTAATGAAAGAAATTGCTATACCAGGGTGTAAATGGCAGTACTAATAGGAAAAGAATAAAAGAGCTGCTGGACTATTCTTCAGAATACTTATTTCCAAAAACAAAGTTTATAAATGCTACTGTAGAGCTTGCTAAAACTGGTACATAATTTTACACAATCTTCTATTTATTTATTTTCCTTTTTGTCATTTTGCAGGGCTATTTCCTCCTCTTTGAGTCTATGCTGGATTCAGTCATTTATGCAAGGGACAAATATCTGGCCAAAGGAGGCTCAGGTTAGTCTGATTAAATAAATAGTTCAACTATGGAGAAAACTAGATTCTGCTATGCATGACCAAGAACTTTATTTTCTGAAATGAATAATCTTTCCATTAGGAGTAGCTCCAAGATAATCATTTCATAGTACGAATAATGCAAAAGCAATTTAACAGGATATTTGGATCTTAAATGAAATACTATTTTCAGGAATTCTTTGTCTTTTTAAAAATAATTGTGTGTGTGTATGTGTGTATGCATGCATGTGTATGTCCATGTTTTTGCTGTCATAGCAGAGTTTTTTTCATCTACAACACCCTCTTTCTCCCCCCCCCTCCAATGTTCAGGGACAGATTGAGCATGGTACTTGAGAGACGGGCAGATCTGTTCTATTGATACATGCCATGTTGGTGGACAAAAAGATTTGAATACTGCCCAGTGGAATTCTTTAAGGTGGCCAAAGTTTACAGGAAGAGGAGAACTAACAATATAATCTGGATTTGAGGTTTAAGGAAGAAGTAGGGAACTACTTGAAAAATAGAGGTTCTAGTGTCTAGCATAGAAACAGTTTATCACAGCTTGGTTTTGTGTTATGTTTTCCCTTTTAGTAAAACCCAATTTTCATGTGTAGAATAGAATAGAATTCTTTATTGGCCAAGTGTGATTGGACACACAAAGAATTTGTCTCCGGTGCATAAGCTCTTAGTGTACATACAGTGTACAATCAACAAGTGATAAATCATCATGATCATAATCATAATAGAATCATCATGAATCAGAAGATACAACACTCAGTGATAGTCATAAGATATTAAATGAAAACAATCAGCATAACCCATAAGGTACAAACAATAAAGTGATAGTCTTAAGATGCTAAAGGAATAGGTAATAGGAAAAATGAGAAGGATAATAGTAATACAGCCCTACTACATGGTTTAATATCCTAGGGCATGAGACAGTGTTATGGGAATTAGTTGTTTGGCAGACTGATGGCATGTTTTTGTGTCTAGTTGTTTCGGCATGCAATGCCCTATAGTGTCGTCTTGAGAGAAGAAGTTGAAATAGTTTATGTCCAGGATGTGAGGGGTCTGAGGATATTTTCACAGCCCTCTTTCTGGCTCATGCAGTATACAGGTTCTTAATGGAAGGTAGGCTGGTTGCAATTATTTTTTCTGCACTCCTATCTAACTCTTTTGAAATTTGTGTCTGTCCTGTTTGGTTGTTATGCCAAACCAGACAGCTATAGAGGTACAAATGAAGAAGCTTCTTGGATGAGAAGTGAAACATCTTCAAAGAAAAACAAGAAAGTCCAGTTGCCTCTTGAAAAAGCACTTTTGGAACATCAGTTGTTAATATAAAAGCAGAGACACCCTCCCTTCTTTTTACTGGATGTTTCTTCAATTCTGTCTGTCCTCTGTATCTTAAATCCTGGGATATGCAAACTGTTATCATTAATCAAATCATTTAGCCAGGTTTCAGTGAAGCAGAGGGCTGCTGAGTTGTAAAAATCAGAGTTGTGTCTGTTTAAGAGGAGTATGTTTAAGAGAGTAACAGAATCACAGAGCTGGAAAGGACCTTTGGAGATTTTCTAGTCCAATCCCCTGATCAAGCAGGAAGCCCTACAACATTTCAGACAAATAGATGTCCAATCTTTTCTTAAAAACCTCCAGTGTTGAAGCACCCATAACCTCTGGAATAAGCAGGAGAAATACCTGTATTCTGTTTTATTTTAAATCTGGAATTGTGTGTTTATGTTTGTATGCCACCCACTGAAAAACCAAATATAGTGTTATGGTATTTAAAATAATCATTATGGTTTTCTATCTGTTCTGATGATGTGGAAGCTGAGGTGGAAGCACTACTTCTGAGGGAATAGGTCTGTGACAGGAAATTCTTCTAAACTCATGTCTATGGAGCTTCTCAATTATCCAGGTCATGGTTGCCCCAAAGATCTTTTTTCCAAAAGGCAACTGGACTTTGAAAATATTTTGCATCTCACCCAAGAAGTTCTTCAGTTCTAAACTCATGACTATTGCTCAATGGGCAGATGGGAATGGCCAGAAGGATTTTTGACCAGCTTCAGTTTAAGCCATACTTGTAGCATGACCTTGCTGCAGTGATTCATGTCCCCATCACTACTCATTCGGGCTGCTGCAATGCAGTGGGACTGCTTTTGAAGACTACTCAAAAACTGCATTTGCTTCAAATTGCAGGAACCTGTGTGCTATCTGGCAGATTTTGTCAGGATCAGAGAATATAAATATTGCAGGCCCAGCATTGGTTTTCAATAGGTTTCTTGGTCCAATTCACCTGCTGGTTTTATAAACTCTTTATGACTTGGCATCTAGGTACAGTATCTTGAGGGTTACCATCTGGGACCAAGGTTGCATGTTTGGAATATTTATCATAAGAGATTAGTGGGGCTAAGGCCAGGAAGCAATTGTTTTCAGTAATAGTGGCGATTCTCTAGAAACCACTCCTTCTGGAGGTGAAACTGACTCCATCTGTAATAGCCTTCCAGATTCAAATATAATTGTTCCAGTTGGCTTTAGGGGTGAATTATTTGTAGTTTAAATGCTGATGTAAGTTTGTTTTAATTTTATAAAACATGAAGAATTGTTGAGATGTGGTGGTTTACAAATTTAATTAAAATAATTTACAGTAAGCTAATTGCTACTAGAATTCTGGCTTATCACTCTGTGCATGTACGGCCTTAAAATTTATCCCCAGTGCATTTTTACTCCTCCTTCTCATTTACAGAGTTTAGATTGAGGAACATCTAATTTTGGCTCTTGGAAATAGAATAGGAAGTGTTGAGTTTTCAGTGTTTGCTGAACNATATATAGGCTATTTTTGAGACAAACTGCAGTATTTAAAGCACCGTGAAAGAGTTGGCCTAGCATCTAGTATTAGAGAGCCAAATTGGTATGGCATTTGTTGCATTTTGCTAAAATAATTTACAAGTTTATTTATTATTGTACTATATTAATGTGTATGTAGTTTTGCTGAAAAAAATGTTTCTAACTAGCATTCTTCTCTTTTAAAATTATTATTAAAAGGTATTTGACCTACAACTTCAATTATTTAAACAGTGCAAGGATATTAAACTATTTATGGGAGACCTAAGTATCCAAGAATTAATATATCCATTAATGATAGATATATGATGTGGAGTCACAAATTATTTTTTCCCAGGGACCACTGGAAAAGCCATACTTTTTAAGACTTTTCTTAAAAGATATAGGTCATAACTGTGCAGATATGATTGGGGAGTTATTAATTGAAAATAAATGAAAGGACTTTATTATAATCTATGTTTGTTTCTCATTCCCAATATAAAATAACATTAATTATACTTTTGTTGATTGTTAACATAATTTGACAGGATTTCAAATAGAATGATTTTGTTTTTAAACATGGAATTCATGTTCTTCTGCCAACTGGTTTAGAAAGTTAATAGAAGCCTTATTCATAGCTTTTTATATTTTTATGTGTAAAACAGCTAGCTGGTAGGATTCAAAGATCAAATGAATTTCCCCATTTCAGTGCTACATGTGGTGTGTTCTTGCATTGTGTGCAGTAGTAAACATCAGAATCTGAGAATTCAAAATATCCTATATTATTTCTAGAGTAGACTTTTTTTTAAAGAGTTAGGCTGTAAGTCCAATAACCATTGCACCAGGTAGAGGAAAGAAGGTTTATAATGAGTACGTTTTGATATAGTGAAAACTATCATAATCCATGGAACGATGTAGTTTTGTGATACATGTGATAGCTTGATCAAACATATGCAGCGACTGGGTTTTTCTTTTCCTTTCTCCTTTTCCTTTATATGAAATTTCTTCACCTGACCCCAAGATGTCAACAGAGATACCTTCAAAGTGAGAAGAACAATAACTTACAGATAATTTTGAAATGGCAAATGTGGTATAGTTTCTGCAAGAATGACATTGCTTTGAGGATGGAGTTTTTAAAATTAATTAACTGCCAAATCTGTATGAGTTGATAAGATATTTATCAACTTCCCTTGCGCATTTTAGTGCCAATAGTGTAACTGCACAGTTCATTTAGCAGGGATTTAGGCATTTGTAACGGGGGAACTTTTGCCAATTGCTTTGGAACAATTGTCCTACTTTCTTTATTATGCTAAATGCTTTCCAGGAGGCAAAGATGATTTATATTTCAATCTTTCTAGAAAGCAGATAGTCTGATTTAATTGAGATGTTAAAGCTGTGCTACTCTAAACTATTCAGATTTCATTTAAAATTGAGTGGCATAATAGACATTTTAAATGGCCATCTGAATTTCAGTTCACCGCAGCAATTTAATCATATAGATCAATAGGATATATAATATGAGTCTCAAATCACCTTCAGAGTAGACATTTCTGTCTTGAAAATTTCACTGTCTTGGCAGAGATATTTGCAATATGAGCCATTGAACCCTTACCTTAAGGAAATGTTACCTGCCACTCTAAGCTGTTCACTGTCAACAGTGTTAAGTTGTGCATTTGTCTATGCCTAAATTGTGTATCTTATTTATTATTTATTATACCAATTTGTATGCCTCCCAACCATAAAGCTCAAGGCAGTTTAGGATAAAATGCAATTTAGAAGCTCCCATTGCAATTGGTAAGTGTATGTGCTTAGAATTGCTAGGCTGAGTACAGGGGGGGGAAAAAAGAAAAGCTTTCACCTTGCAGTTAAAACTGTTTATCAGCTAAGGCTTTGGAGGAGCACAGTGTTCTCAGTGGAATGCAATGTGGTTAATTTGCTTGTCAAGTGAAGCTAAGACAATGAAGCTCTAATGCTTCTGACCTTAATAAGCTTCTTAGTAAAAAAAAGTATTAAAAAAGCTGAAGTGATTCCTTACACTAAAATTCTTTCAAACACTAAGAATGTAGTCCCAGTCTGTCTTAGAACCAAAACAGTAAGGGAGTAAATTAAGATCAGTGGTTGAATAGGAAAGCGCTCCATTTGGTCACTAATGTAGATTTTAAAGGCAGTGGCAGAGAAACATATTATCCCTCCTGTAACACTTTTAGTTCCAAGTGTAGTAAAATGTCCACGTGGCATTGTACCTAACATTTTTTTTATTTTTTTATGTATTTATTGGATTTCTTATGGCTGTCCGCTTCAGTAGACTTTGGACATTTACAAAATTCAAATACACAGAACAATTTCAAAAACATAAAGCAAAATGGACAGCCTGGACTAAAAACAGCCAAAACAATAAAAACACAATAGGGGCTTTGTAAACACACTAAGCCCAGGTCTGGAAACAGAGCCAGGTCTTAAGGGCTGTTTGGAACCCTAGAAGAGTAAGTGCTGCCTAAATCTCTGTTCCAGAGGATGGGTACAGCAACAGAGAAGACATGCTTCCTCAGTTCCAGGACAGAGGGAACCTCTGCCCAATGTACTGGGCGGGCAGAAACAATTGGCGATCGGGGTCCCCAACCCCTGGGCCGCGGCCCAATACCAGGTTGTGGCCTGTTCAGAACTGGGCTACACAAGCACAGTAGCGAGCGCACACGTAGCTTCACTTGCGCGAGTGGCAGGTGGTCACGTTCATGCATGAAGCTTCCTTTGTGCAAGCGGTGTGCCACTCTCATGGAACCATCCCCTCCCCCCCACCTCTGCCTGGCCATCAAGCCAGAAAGGTTGGCGATTGCTGCTTCATAACCAACTGTGTGCCCTGAAGGACTTAACAGGTAACAACTAACCCTTTGATTGCCCCCCCCCCCCGAAGCTCATTGGCAAACAGTTCTAAAGTACTATCCCGGATACTTTTCCTTCTTAAGCAACTGCTTTTATGCCCTTTTCTTTTTTTCAGAAAAAAGTAATGTATTATTTCTTCTTGCACATGTGGCTTTAAGCAACTTAAAAAAAAATAGCAGGAAAGGAAATCTACCTTCTGTGTTGTGTTTTTTTTTTCTTTCCTCCTGTATTTTTCTTTTCTTACTGAAAACAGTTCAGCTGACAATGTATTATGACTGTATTAACATAGCACTGTGTCATTTTGATATCTCCTGCTCACCTCCCTTAAGTTTCCCAAAGGACCTCTCGGTAAAATGCTGGCAAAAAAAATTATCCGAAGCAAAAGTACTACATGAAAGAGTGATTGATTGTAGTTGCTTTCCCACCTTTAAAGGATGTTTGCTTCCAACCATGCTTCGGCTTTGCCGTTCCTTCAGTATTACCTTTTTACCACATTGCTGAGGGATCAAAGATTTCCCATCTTACTTTGTTCTCAGTGTGAGCTGTTACTAATGACAAATGATTTGGAGGCAGTGAATCGAGAAGGACATAGATGACAAATCCACACCAGTGCTATAATGTGCTGCCCTGCAATGTCCGATCAGCAGTTTCATATCACCTGGGTTGAGAAATAATTCAATCAGATAAAAAAATGATGCAATAACCAAGAATTAAAGGAGATTTCTTTTTTCCTTGCTTTTCCTTTTTCCTTATTTTTATAAGTAGCAAGGCTTAAGGACTGAAACCGGTTCATCAGTGCAGTGGTACATTCAGAATATGTCAAAACTCTTTCCTCTTTTTTTTAAGATGATGAAGGAAAATACCTTCCATTAAACTGGATCTTTTCTACGAGCATTTTTTTTAAAAAAATGAGGTTGCAGTGAAATAACATTAGACTGTACTGTTAAGACAGAGTAAGCAAAAACCTCCCCCAACTTTCCCTTTCCTTGGCATTTTTAAAATCATCAGCCATTTAAAAATAAGTTAGTCAAAGGGCAGATGTGGATGTACAATAAATAATATTAGAACATGCACTTCAGAGTGCCTTACAAAGTCAACCTTGTAAATATGCATTTGTTTCTTTTTCTCACTCTTAAAACCTATCTGTCTACAGAAAAATGAAAAACTTAACTCCTATATTTATTTATATATTTTTATTCATTTATTTGTATCTCGCCTTTATTATAACTACTTCAAGGCAACAAACATATCCAACAAACCTTCCTCCTCCTATTTTCCTCACAACAACAGCCCTGTAAAGTGGGCTGGGCTGAGCGAGAGTGATTGGCCAAAGTCACCAGCTGGCTTTCATGGCTAAGGCGGGACTTGAACTCACAGTCTCCTGCTTTGTAGCCTGGTTCCTTAACCACTAGACCAGGGGTGTCAAACTGCTGGCCCGCGGGCCGGATGCGTCACGCAGAAGCCGCGCCCACCCCATTGCCGGCAATGGCAAAACAGTCCCGCTACGTTGTGTGATGTCATGTGACATCACGAGTTTGACATGTCTGCACTAGACTGAACTTGCTTAATTATTTATTTCTTCTTTCAGTTTTTAAGGCCACTCACCTGCTACGTGTTTTGCTCAGCTTGCATAAAGGAGAATCAATAAAGGAGAATATTTGTAGCTCAGGATTGAAATGAGAGGCCCTTGGTACTTTCTGAGTTTGGGTAATAAAACGTATATAATGTAACAACCAAGCTCAGAGAGCACCAAGGACCCTTGCATAGGATTAGAAATGTCACACTACAAAACAATACCCCTATAACAGCATTTTGTGCCTGGGACAGTACAGTCCAAGCACGTATCTAGGCAGTTTCATGCTGCATTCTGACCAGTGTCTGGGGAGAAAGAACCACTTCTAAAATCTATGAAAATCTGGCAGGATTGTGGTCATCCGACTTCAGGATGGGGCAATGCTGCCACAACTGAGGCATTTTCTATCAAGGTTACAAGGTTTATAATATGAATCAGCCTATTATTGCTCCATTGGATTTAAATGCTGATCTGACAGCAACCTTTGCAAATTTAACACGTATGCATGTTTTTTGGGGGAAATGCTGTTATATAGCACTTGCTGTATATTGTTTAGGAAAGCAGCTTGACTCAAATCACTTTGTCAGTACTTAATGAGGGATGTTGTTGATAATCCAGGAACAGGCCTGGAAAGTTGGAAGATGAGAAGTCAAGTGTAAGCCACAAAATCAGCAACCTTGTCTGTAGAAGAAATAACATTCTCCTGTAAAGTGTGTTTTATGTCAGTGTGTGTGGCAGTGATCAGCTATGCAGAACTACTGATTTATTTCAGCTGCACTGGTGACCTTTTTTTTTTGTATGTGTGAATAATATCCCCTTTCTTTCAGAATAAAATATTGAATACTTGAAAGGCTTTCAGCCTGAAAACTTGGGCCTTTCTCCCATTTTGGGGGAAATCCACTTTCTTTAGCTATTTTACCAGGAAAGAATAGGTATATTTTTTCATCCTGTAATGTTGATTACTTCTTCCAAATGTTTAATTCTGAATAAGCATGAAGTCTACAGCATATTCAATATGTTGATTATAAATAGGTACAACAGATTTTCCCATTTGAATGCTCTTTAGGCTTTTTGATCTCACTATCTAGACCAGGGGTAGGCAACCTTGGGTCTTTTATGACTCGTGGACTTCAACTCCCAGAATTCCTGTTGGCTCAGGAATTCTGGGAGTTGAGGTCCACGAGTCATAAAAGAGCCAAGGTTGCCTACCCCTGATCTAGACTGTTGCAGTTGGTGCAAAATGGGGCAACCAGCCTGCTAGATGGTACAAGAAAAAAGATGATAACACCTGAAAAATCTGCCCTGGTTGTCAAATGTTTTTTTGGGCCCAGTTTAAAGTATTGATAATGATCTTTAAAAATCCTGAAAGAACTCAAACTTGGACTGTCTAAGATAATGTTTTTCAACCTTGTCAATTTTAATATGTGTGGGCTTCAACTCCTAGATTTCCCCAGCATGTAATGAATTGAAGTCCCCACATCGTAAAGTTGCCAAGGTTGAAAAATACTTGTCTCTCTACAGTAGGGGTCCCCGACCCCCGGTCTGTGGGCCGGCACCGGTCCTGTGCTCCAATTGAGTAGGAAGATAGGATATAAATCAAATTACAATAATATAAAAATTGAATAAGAGCATGCTTCTTAGAAAAATATAGTATATCAGTTCAAAGCTGTTTGTATTTTCTCTTTTATGCTGTAGGTTTTTGCTAGACTCAAAGCTCTCCTCCTTCTCTTTCACATCCCAGCAAAAGAACATCCTACAATTGTTACAGCTTTGTTGCACTCCATTCATGGAAGCACACATCTCTTTTAGTCCTAGAGGATCTTATTTCAGAGATGTAGCTCTGGAATTGCTGAATCTAAATGTTTTGTTTTCCTCCAGCATGTTTAACAGCATTTGGCTTTTCTTGTACAGAAATTTGCCCCTGCACAGTCCTCATTATTGAATAATTTATCTAATTGCAGTGTATCCTGACTCTTGTACCATTAGCCTGGTGGCTGTAAGTGATATCGCTAAGCATACCGATCAATTGACTTTCTGGGATGACGTCTATGGCTTCAATATGTCCTGCATGAAAAAGATGGTAATACCTGAAGCAGTTGTGGAAATCTTAGATTCAAGGACTCTTATATCTGAAGATTGTATCATCAAGGTACTGTGACAGAGAATGGCATCTTCTAAAAAAAAATAATGTTTCATTTATTCTCTTTGTGAGCTGTTTTTATATAAAACTATCATTATAGAAAATTAATATAGTGACTTTTAGTTCTTGGTCAATAGCAATGTGAAGTCCATGATATTGAGTTTTGGAATTATCACTATGGAGTTTTAGTCTTTTGATAGTATATTTCCATCCTTGCTTCCGTCCCCCCTTTTTTTTGGGGGGGGGGATAAAATCAAGAATGAAATGAGAAGATATAAGAGTTATCTGCCATTCAACAATTATTGATTGCAGATGTCCAGGCTCATTTGCAGTAATTTCACCCAAGGTCTATTATATAATTTAAACACTGACATTGTAACCCTATGCTCCTTTCTCTTCTCACTAACTCTCTTGATATGATTAGCAAACCATATTTTCTGGAGCTATGGTTAATTAATAGTCTCTATTTTAAATATTTGTAGAAAAAAAATATTTTCCCCATTTTTCCTGAGCAGATATTTATGTCCATATGGTTAGAAAATAGTAATACGAAGTATATTATCAGTATATTGCTTTCTTTGCAAATAAACATTGGATGTTGGGTATTTATTACCTAGTGTCACTGTGGAGTCCTTGGTGCTTTCTGAGCTTGGTTGTCTCCTTGCAGACATTTCATTACTCGCATTCTACTACTTCCTAAAACTTGTGAGAATATATTATTTATTTGCATTTTGAAATTATGTCAAATGATTTGGAGGAAAGACCGTTTCTTTGGTTCTCCTGTTATAGTACAGAAGAAAGACATGCTATTGCTGTTTATCTGATACACTGAAATTGGTTGACTTTCAATTTAGAGCATCCTGTTAAATTGGGTCCTCTTTAGATGTGTGAAATTTTATTCTCAGAATTCATGGCAGTTGAAATCCATGGTGATGGCCAGGGTAAGAAAGGTTGGTCTTTTGCTAACGCTCTCTCATCTTGATCAAGATAGGTTGCACTGCACTGTACTGTATTCCTCTTGAAAAATAGGGATCCTGTAGTTTAGGATTCCAGTAATTAATAATCATACCCAGCATGATGATGGGTTCTCTAATTGTATTTTAGATGATTTAAAATCAGTAATGGTTAAAGCATCAGGCTAGAAACCAAGAGAATTCTAGTCTTGACTTGAGCACAAAGTTAGCTGGGTGACCTTGGGCCACTCACTAGCTCTCAGCCCTAAGAAGAAGGCAGTGATAAACCACTTCTGAAACCATTTCTGAAAAATGCAGGGGCCAATACACGCAATCACTTGAGTCAATACTGACTCAAAGATAGCAAAAAAACAAAACGAAAACAAGTTGTAGTTTTAAAACTGAGAAGATATCCTAATGTAATCATGGTGGATAAAAGCCTTCAGATAATCTTTACATTCTAAACTTATTTTTCTATATAACAAAACTAAGGAATTGACCAAGAGTGTCATTATGAGTAAATAACCAAGATTAATAGCAGCTTTCTAGAACTGGTGATTTTGAAATATCCAGGAAATTATAAAAATGTGCCTTATTTATCATGTAATGTCGAAGAATATACATTCGGCAGTCAAATGTGGGTGAATATGAATAATGCCTTTGTTATACTCTATTTACGTTCATGAAAATCTGTTAATATGCAAGACTGAATTGGGTACATTTTCAAGGATATTTCTCTTTTATGTGCTGAACAATTGCTGAACATCATTTGTAAACTGAATGAGTATAATAGAATTGCTGGGCTATAAAGAGGAGAATAGATTTTCTGGCTCCACTATAGATATATAATAAATATTAGTCTCTTCTTGAAAATACTTGAGGATATATTTTCAAGCTTCCGGTAGCTTTTTTTCCAGTCTTAGGATGTTTGTATGTGAAATATTAGGTGTAAGTATTTCATCTGAATCTCTTAACCATTGTTTCATCCTTATCTTAAGTGAAAAATGGATTATTTATTTGGTTAGGCCATTTTTATTTGTTGTTGGAAGGATAGTCTATTTTTTACAGTGGAAGAATTTTTATCTTCACCGTACCATTTGTGAGAGAAAATATAACAGAGCTCCATTTTCATGATTCGCTTCTATCTTAAACCATTTATACTTCTTATTTTCATATATGTTGAAGTTTAAAAATATTTTTACAGTGTGCCCAAACCAAGAGCTGTGTACAAAAATTTAAAGGAAGCTGTTTACAACAATTTAAAAAAATTTCATTTTGGAAAGAAAGACTGGTCCTAGAGCAGGGGTAGGCAACCTTGGCTCTTTTATGACTCGTGGCTCAGGAATTCTGGGAGTTGAAGTCCACTAGTCATAGAAGAGCCAAGGTTGCCTACCCCTGTCCTAGAGTAATAGTTGCCCTGCAAAAACTAGAGAAGACAGGTCTGTGTTCAGCTGTTGCTTAAGACACAAGGGAAAAGGAACCAGATGAGCTTACCAAAAGAGAATGGGCGTTTATAACTGGAGTGCCACCACTGAGAAGACCAACCTCTAGGCACCACACTGTGAGACAGACTTGCTAGAATAAGGGAAATGTTAAAAGGGGGTGGGTTTTCTTTTTAAAGGAAAAGTTACAAATCCAACACATTGCTGAGATATGGAGTGATGAATAATGCAATGGAAAAAAATGTTATCTTCTGATCCTTACTCAGCATGGAAGTGTTTTTAAAAGTTATGCAAACTGCATTGCAATCTACTTTTAGCGTTTTCCAAAGTTACTCACCACACAGTGTTGGAGAGCAGCAATTAAAAAAGCAATTAATAGCCCTAAACTCAAAAGTGTAAGCAAAATTATGTATTTTGGGCTTGAGTTCACACATATAATTACATATCGATCTTATAAATAACAAGTTTTGCTGAGATAAATGCTTTTGATACAAGGGGTAGGTGGGGGCGAGCCTTTGGCCTTTAGCCGTTTCTTCTAGGTGTCCCTGATGGTGCCTTTGTGCACCTTACACTCCTCCCGTAGAATTGTCCCATCTGGAAGGACTGAGAGCTTTACTGCAAAAGCTGCAAGATAGAATAAGTTAAAATAGTTATCAGCCACTCCAAAATCCATCTATGACTTTCTTTGGTTTGGTTCTCAAGCTCATATTTGTTCCATCTTGCAGCGGATAGACTGCCATGCCGTCTCAGTTCCAGAACTGGAATTTTCATCTGACTTCGTTTTGACGGTCATCAAGACTTCCATGTGTACGGTAAGTTTTGTTTCGCTTGTAGAAACATTTCTGAGGATGAGATGCCTCATTTTTTAAATCTTCTGTTTGTGCAAACAAAAAGTCGCTGATTGGTTTGCGTAATTTGGTAGCTGTAGACATGCGGCGTCATCTTCAAGCCGATTAACTTTATTTCTTTACTGATTGTCTTTCCAACAGTTCAGCTATTCCTCTTGAGTCTTTGACTGTCATGTCTTCTTTTTCCTGATAAACATTTTTATCTTACCTTATGTTTTAGCTTTATGTTGTGGCTTTATACTTCATAAAAACCTGTCCTTTAAAACTAACCAGTATAATTCTCTTGCCTTTAAAACTCTTGTCGCTTACTTTTTACAATTTCCATTAATGTAATGGAAATGTGATTTCTTGTTCTGTTTTCCCCAAATTTGCTTCAGATAATCTCTCAATACTCCAGGAAAGAAAGAGGATCCATTCCACCAGTGATTTCCATTCCATCTGTGGATAGGCAGGATTAACTGTAACCCCACTAAGCATTTTTAGATTTATTCAAGATTGTTTGGCGCTTTTGTATAAAATACTTCCTGTATCTTTCCATTTTTTTTCAATTGATATAAGCTTTATCCATTTCCAAATTCCATTTTATTGTTTTGTAGACATTGATATTCTCCTGTCCTAGAATAGAATGTAAGGTTTGGGAGTTACTGGTTTTTTATTAATTTTTTGTGGCACTACACAGAAAAACTAACACGTTGCCCGACATTATTTGTACTTTTTAATATATGATTATTGACATCTTATGATGAGAATTTTATGATGAAATGCCAGAGATTAGTCAGAGATTGACAGTCTATCCATCATATCAGACTGCCTAACCCTGCAGTAAATAAATGCCTATTGAGTGATTTATTCATCATTTGTAGGCAGACAGAAACATTTTTTTCAGTAAAAGTCCAGTCAATAAAATGAAGAACACAAAATTATCTCCTAACAACAAGAACTATTACCAATCACTTCTGGGCAAAGTTTATATATAATATAGGAAAAGTTTGCTATTTTAGAGAAATAAATTTATCTTACTTGTTTAACAGATAACAGTGTTTAACAGTGCAAATAAAAGCTATCAGTGGCCCGGAAATTTCAATAAAAGAGGAGTAACTAAATTGTGTGGAAGGTCCCTGTATAACTGGCAATACAGAAGAACATGAGCAGTAAATAAATAATGGAATACATTATTTGTGTAGTATTTGTTGGAGATGGTTAAAGATATATTTTTGCTTAATTTTGGAATCTCAGTTTTGATTAGATTTACAATAAAAGAATTAATGTTTAATACGTTATTATGATTTATAACTCCATGGTGTAATTATAACATTTTGTAAACTAGAAAACTGAGAAAGTGAGTTTGTGTGACATTTCCAGTCAAGTATATGTAGTGCTGCAGCCTGGAAGAAACCTTTTAGTTTCAGACTATCATAGAGAAATACTAATTCATTCTCTCCAGTAGGTGGTGTAAAGTATTAACTCCCACCCTCCTACTCCACCAACAAATCTAGTTGGTGGAATAACTTTAATATATATAGTAGTATAAATTTAGGCAATATTTTCACATTCTGTTTTAGGGATACAAAAGTGTTGAATCTGTTCACTTAGACTTCTTTCATAGCTAATCCTTGTTATTTCTGGTTTGTTTGTTCTTTTGCCATTTGTTTGCTTGGAATATAGCATCTTGATATATTTGTAGATAGTTACATCCAGTACCTATCAAAGATACAATTTTATATCATTCGCCGGTCTGCATATTTTTCTCACATGTCAACTTGGAAATCAGTATAGAAAATAAACTAGGCAATGTGCATAACTGTGGTATATTATGCAAATCTATCAGGCATGAACACCACAGATAGAAGCACCTGTAATCAAATATTTACATCTACTGTCTATCTGGTATTTCTCCAGGGCTTGTCAGTGTGTAAAATGTGTTAGATTATAATAGATCAAAACATATACCAGGGCATTGAAATGAAACACCAATAAATGTAAATTGCAATTCTAGGCTTGAATCTGTATCTAAATGACTAGATTGTATTCGTGATCAGTTCTTGGCGGATTGAGTAGAGTGCCTTACTAAAATCAACCCTGTGCTCTTTGAGTATTTAATATAGTAATAATATTCAGAAGTATATTGAAGTAGTAATGCCTAGCCACTAGTCATTAATAATGATGATGATGTTGGAAGGGACCTTGGAGGTCATCTGGTCCAACCCCATGCGCAGGCAGGAAACCCTATACCATTTCAAAGAAATGGCTGTCCAGACTCTTCTTAGAAACTTCCAGTGTTGGAGCATTCACAGTTTCTGGAGGCAGGTTGTTCCACTGATTAATTGTTCTAAATGTCAGGAAATTTCTCCTTAGTTCTAGGTTGCTTCTCTCCTTGATTAGTTTCCACCTGTTGCTTCTTGTCCTGCCTTCAGGTGCTTTGGAGAATAGCTTGACTCCCTCTTCTTTGTGGCAGCCCCTGAGATATTGGAACACTGCTATCATGTCACCCCTCATCCTTCTCTTCATTAACCTAGACATAACCAATTCCAGCAACCGTTCCTTATATATTTTAGCCTCCAATCCCCTAATCATCTTTGTTGCTCTTCTCTGCACTATTTCTAGAGTCTCAACATCTTTTTTACATCGTGGTGACCAAAACTGGATGCAATATTCCAAGTGTAGCCTTACCAAGGCATTGTAAAGTGGTATTAACACTTCATGTGATCTTGATTCTATCCCTCTGTTAATTCAGCCTAGCACTGTGTTGGCTTTTTTGGCAGCTGCAGCACACTTCTGACTCATATTTAAATGATTGTCCACTAGGACTCCGAGATCCCTCTGACAGTTGCTACTATTGAGCAAGGTACCCCCTATACTATACCTGTACATTTGGTTTTTCTTGCCTAAATGTAGAACCTTACTTTTTTCACCATTGAATTTTATTTTGTTAGATAGTGCCCAGTGTTCAAATCTTGTCAGTTGCATGTGGTATAATGCATAAATGCTGCTATGTACCTCTAAAGATTGGGGGGGAAAAGATTGGGCACCTTTTGTGTCTGTGGGAGTGTCTATGACCCATTATTTTATGTTTGAGTTCAATTTTTTTCTTGACTTTTTATTGGCTGGTGGCCTTAATCTCTTCCTGCACCACTGCCATATGATTTAATGATTTAGCAATTTCTTGTTCCTTTTCACAGTTGGGAACTAGAGATCCACATGATTTAGTAGAGCAGGATGAGGTATACCTTCCTTGGGAAGGTGGAGATGGAATCCAGGGGAGAAGTGAAGAACCTTTTAAGTTTTTTGTTACAATAAATCCACCTTTCTCAAAATATTAGTTTCAAGGGAAGGTATGTACATTGAGATTACACTAAAGGGAAGTTTTATGTAAAAATAATTGTTTCTAGTGTAATCTTTACTGGTTCCTGCATATCCAGCATTTCTTTTTTAGTCCAATGGGAGGAGTGTTGTAGGGTTGGATCATATTTTTTGCCTTTTGTTTCAACGTTTTCTAAATTTTGTCCTCTCCATCTACCTACATCTCCCTTCCTTGTTCTGCGGATATAGGCTTAATTAGACCAGACCTTCAGCTTGGCTAAGCACTTACATTATCTTTTATTGATAGCCAATATTATGATATTGTGCCATTTTCCAAACATTGTTCAAGCTTTCAGCATGGGTTTGGCCTCTATCTTTCAGTAGGCAAGCAATGCCATGTTTTTAAAAAACCTATATACACTACTTAATCTGAAATGTCCTCAGAAAGCTTTCAATTCTTAAAGGCCTGAAGGCCTTTGGAAGGGTATAATCATTATCTTACAATCCTATATTCAATGTGGTTGGGGAGTCCTTCAATGTTTCTCAAGCCCCAGAAATACCTGCCATTGTAGTGTTTGGTCAGGAGAATGGATGGATAATAATTTTTCTATTCTGTCTATCTTCATCTCATTTACAGTAATCAGAAGCATAACTCTGTTTTGTTGCAGAATATTTGAATTACTATCTTCAATAGACCAGCTAGTTGGGATACTGTATTTATTAGTGAGTAAGGCTCAACAGAAATCACTAGTTTATTTTCTATTGTCTTCTATAATTATTTTCCCAGTTCCTTTACATCTGCATTTGTAATCTTATGGTACAGTACTTCTTATTTTGAAACTCCAGTGCTTTCTCCTAGGAATTTTCTTTCTGCAATCCTATCATGTACTTCTGAAAGAGAAGTTTAAGCTCATCTGTCTTCTTGCCGGCTGCCAATAATTGTTGATAAACTGAGATGGGTCTTTATGTAACCAGCAGTGTGTTGTCTGCAGGTGGAGGGTCAAAATAATCTAGATGGCAGTCGAAAAGACTAGATCAGTGGTGGCGAACCTATGGCACGGGTGCCAGAGGCGGCACTCAGAACCCTCTTTGTGGTCACGCGCGCCATCACCCCAGTCCTAGGCCTTCAGCTGGGTTTTATAAAACCTTTTTGCTTTAGGCCTCTGCCACCGTGTACAAAAAAAAAAGGTTCAATCAATCAGTCAATTTCAACTTCTCGTGAGAAAAAAAAAGATCTTGCAAAGTTGGAATTGATTGATTGAACTTTTTAGTCCCACCCAGTCTGCTGTTACCACTGCAGCCACACCCAGCCAATGGGCCACGCCCAGCCAATGGGCCACACCCACCTGGCACCCGACGATGCATAAGTGGGTTTTGGGTTGCAGTTTGGGCACTCGGTCTCTAAAAGGTTCGCCATCACTGGACTAGATACTAGAATTGAAGCCCGCACTTCTGTAGCTGCTTGCAATGTCAACATATATAAAAAAAGGCAGAGCTTTGATGTCACAATCTCAACTCATCATGCCATTTTTAAAATTTCTGCTCCTGTATCCAATATGTGTTGATGGCAGTAGTATGCATTTTTTAGTCGCTAGGTCTAAATCAGCATTGCAAGGGAGTTCAATTCTCTTTTCTTTCCCAGTGCCTAATTGCAAGTTATCTTC